TTGGATTGAGACATTGAATACAGCAAGACCTATAGGACTAAACATTCATCATAATGTAGGCATAGCACCCTTTGTTGTCCTGTTTAATTAGTCCCCAGCAATCGAGCAAGCAAGATACTTCATGCCCACTATAAGAGCCTTCAAGAGAAATTCCCTCATGTCTATAAGCAGAAAATGATAGTTGCATATTCAAAAAATAAGAACTTAAATGATAATATTGTTCATAGTAAACTAAAAACAATCAGTACATAACAGATACTATACTTCTCGCCCATCGGGCGAGTTATTTTTTCTAATTTCAGATCAGAATAAGAACAGAAGAAAACCCAATATCAAGACCCTTAATCCTAATTTCTAAATAAAGTGTCTGCTCCACCCTAGGCATGTACATTTGGGAGAATCAAACCCTCCCTTTACCCGAAATAACATTAAGGTAGAGGATTATATTCAATTAGCTAGTGGACATGACGTAACGAATGAATTTGATAAACCATTGGGGAAGAGTTTTACTGATGGAATAGTTATTCCTAATGAAAAACAAACTAAATAATATGGAAGTTATCTGAATCTCATAAAGAATCGTGTATCCTTACAGTGATAAAGAGGAGATGTGCTTGGATGAAACCTACGAATTTGATAATTTCGATTACCTTACTATTTAAGAAGAGTGTTAATTTTTTTTGTTTTAAATGAAGTTGAATAACAATTTCCTCGTTACCAAAATCTATAAACCTATTTTTACCATCTTTGATTTCCAGATTTATATCTTTAATCATATAGGAATTAAGTGGTAAATACGTCGTTTGAAATGGTTTCTCTATAATTCTATATCCTATCGGTACATTGAATGTTGGAAGACTGTAAATAATCTGACGTTTGTATTTATTGAAAAATCCACCGTTTATCAAATTGCAATGTATATTTATCACATCGATATCATTCTCGATATTAGCTTTTTGTGGTGCTAAAGTGGATTGGGTGTATACTCGTTTATCAAATCGTAGTAACGTATTCAATGAATTTTCTACGTTGAAATCAATTCAAATCTAATATTATTTCTTAATATCAATTTTATTTTGTTCAGATTCAAATTACCTTCGAATTCAATATTGTTTTTACCATTAACACTTCCTCCATATTCAGATAGGTATTCGTTAATGGCTATGTATTCGTAGCTTCCTGGTAGTAAACGTATGGTTTTGAATGTAACTCCGTTATCTGTTGATATTTTTATTTGATTATTTTTTCGTTGATATTTCTAATGGAATTGTAAACAGAGAAATACTTTAATCCCAATTCATATTCTTGATTGCGATCGAGTTCGTACTCATAATCTAGAGACAATTTAATGTCTGATTTATTTGAGGTGATGACGAATAGTTGTTCTTTATTTGACATTTTTAATCACGCTTTTATAATCATTTTTATCTATGATACCTTTTTCTAGGAGTCTTTTTAATATATAATTTACTTCAGTATATTGTCTGTGTGATCGATGTCCTTCCTTCATTGCCGCTAATATTACTCGTAATCTATTAAGCAATTCTTCATTATTATCAGATAAAAACGTCATACCTTGTCCACATACCATATCTTCGAATTCATCTATTTCTTGTATGATTGGTGGATAATTTTCTCCATAATCATCTACATCCTCTTCATATTTATTTAAATATGTTTCAACTGCTTGTAATCTTTTTGTGTTGGGTCCTGTCTTTTTAATTAGATGTAGAAATTTTAAGTATTCTACTAAATCCTTGCGATCGGCAATATCAGAATCCCCACCATTCATTAAATCTGTTGTTGTAAATGTAAAGTCTTTTGTATCGATTTTGAATAAAGGGTAAAATTTTTCAAATCTTATTCTATATCCATTAAACAATAAACCTTGATTATCAACGATTGACGAAATGCTCTTTGGTAAATCTGGGTCAGGGTTTGAAAAATAATGATTTATATCATCTAATGTCCTAATTATAATTCCATCATATTCAATGGGATATTCTATTTGATGAGAAGAAGGAAACGGTGGTTGTTGAATTTGTTTAGGTTCTAATTTCTTTTTAATATCCTCTTGAGATTTTAATATGGGTTGAAATAGAGTTTGTAGATTTTCCGTTAATCCGAGTTGTTGTAATCTGTTATTTTCAACTTGGGTCTTTATTTTATTCTTAGCTTTGATATATTCTTTATTTCTTTTTAAAATATTATTCCAATCGCTACTCATTTTTAAAAAAATAAAATTTAACAAATGTCTGTCATAACTCTTTCACCCGCAGGTTATCTAGTATTAACGAATATATATCCATGATCATCTGGGTTTTTCCATTGAGCTTTACAAACCTTTTTAAATGCATCTCTGTCCATTCCGTGATTTATCGACTGAATGATTTGAGATAAATATCTATCGTTTAATTCAAATAATAGAAAACAATTTGCATTTTTTCAAATGAACATAGAATCCATCCCGTAAAA